TAAGTAATAATTATTAAAAAGGCGACACAGTAGAGTTCTTTTTTTCAAATGGAAGAATTTTATGGTTAAAACATAACAAAACAGAAACCAGATGGCTAGATTTCATTCTTGTCTATGGGTATTTTATTCAGAAAAGTAAGGACATATATGCAGAGATTATTGTTAAGATGCCCTCGTCCCCACAAATGCCCTATACTTCTATATTTCTATGTTTATAGCCAATCCTATGTGCTTTACTCTCTCTCTCTAATCTTTTACAGAATCATCACCAATGGCCAGAAAGCTGATTCACAACCTTTACCCCTGATCCACTGATCCAAGATTAAATTCTATTTACCACTTAGCTAAAAAGGAAGAATGAATGCATATTTGGAATATTTCATCCACAAGATAAATAAAAACATGGGGGCTAATTATTAGCTTTAAAACTATATTAACAAGAATCTCCAATCATTTAAAATATACTAGTCAATTTGTTACTATAAGACATTATCTTGAAACTTCACTTCTCTAAAGAACCTTAATTAAAAGTCTAATTTTTTTTTCTTGATGTTATTAATCAAGTACTTCTTTTATTGATTACTTCATTTAAGATATCAAGAGAAAAAATAACTTTGAAAGGCAAGTGTTGCTATATTACTTCTTTTGTCTTAAAAAAGAACAGGTTAAGGTACCAGCTGAAGTAGTAGCATTCGGTTCATCACATTATAGGAGTGTACATGAATTCCATTTCATCTCTGGGAAATACAGTATCATATTAATGGAACATGATTTCTATGAATATATCACAGAGATACTGGACAACCAGGTAAGACTACAGCATATTGTTACAAGATAGAAAAAGTAATAGTGGTGAATGCAATTGCTCAGAACTGAAAAAGGCTGGAGCAGGGGATTCAATTTCTGAAGATCTTAAATCTCTTAACAACCAGGCCATTGTTTTAATAAGAAGATTGTTGTTTTTCGTAAAGACTATGTAGATTAGTTCATTTTTGTGGCACGACTCTGGTGATAAAATATGTTTATTCATCTTTTTAAAATGCTCATGTTCAAATCATTGAACATGTGTACATGTTGCTTTACTTCCAATTTTTGTTTCTAAATGCAATATATAAGATTTGTATCTTAGTAAATCCATAATGTATAACTTTTAACAAAAACTTACAAATTAAGAATATCAAATCATATAGCTAGAGTAACAGTTCCTCATAGTAATAATAGATACTGATCAAATAAAATGGATATAATAGGTTCTGTTAGAAGTCATATATTATCTGCCAGACCACCTGGGTTCTAAAAAAAGAACGAAGCCATATATTATCATACCTTCACAAATTAATAAGAAATGTTGATTCATGGGACTAAAACTGGCATCAAAATATGTACATTGTTCTTTCATAAAATTACATGAAATGCATTGGCGATTCAATAAGCCTTCAGTAGAAGCACTGGGGAAAGAAAAAGAAAGTTAGAAATGCTACTATTCCAGGCACTTGAATGTGCAGCATCCATACTTAAATACAACAAACAGAGGAACTTCATCAGTGCTTGCATAGAAGTTCCTTGTAAATTACGACTCACCATACACACGCAAAAAATCTACTTTCATTATTAAGACATACATTTTTTTCTTCTCTGTAATAAAATTAAAATTATGTATACCTGTATGTATATAACATATACTTCTGTGTATAAGTATGGTTATAAATAACTGATTTCCATGGCACTCAACATCACTTATTGTTATAATATTTGCATTTTCTTCATAGATATTTTCGTGTAAAGCCTTAAAGGGAATTTCCCACAGAAACTAGGATTAAGTAAC